TAATATGTACTCTTCAAACTATTTCAAATATTTCATACTTGTCCCCTAAGATTTACCCTTTTAAAAGTTATTGCCCCTTTCATTGAAAACCTTGTTATCGCTACTACTCCGAAACCGTAAACCGCAGAGACACGAAACCTTCACTAATGTCTTCAGGGCCTTTAGACACAACTTCAATCTATTCAGTGCGAAAGGATCCGATGACCCCTTATATGAGTTATTGCCCTTTAACATCTTTGCTCTTAATATTCAACCTTATAACTTTGAAACTAAAAGTCGTAGAAGCATGGGGTCAAGTGCAATGTGACCCTTGACTTATGAACTTAAATAATTGTTCAAGGTCAAAGGTCAAGGTCATTAGATTTTTTTTAAATTTCATTTTTTCCATCTCTCAAGCCATTTCTTGTTTCTTTTGTATAAAAATAAACAATAGAGAGTTAAATATGAAAAATATATGAAATTTAAAGAAGGTGAAAAGACCTCTAATTGTTCGAGAACAATTAGTCTACTAGTTATTCTTATTAGGTCTTTCCACCTTCTGTGGAAAGACCTCTTGAAATGCTTATGTTTATTATTATTATTAGGTCTTTCCACCTTTCTGTGGAAAGACCTATTGATATTCTTCTGTTTATTATTATTATTATTATTATTATTATTATTATTATTATTATTATTATTATTATTATTATTATTTTTCCACCCCCTGATGTGATTCTATGTTTCAAGATATATCAAAAAGATTTATAGTCTATAAGAATGTACTCTTTAAAAGATTTTTGTAGTTGACCCTGCGTGTATGAACTTTGACCTCTTAAGGAGTTACAACCCCTTTCGCAATAAAACCTTGTTATCGCTACTCCTTCGAAACCGTAAACCGTAGAGGTACGGAACCTTCACCAATGTCTTCGACTAATTGAGGGGACTCTTCAATCTTTTCATTGCAAAAGTATTCGTGCACCCCTTTTATGAGTTATTGCCCCTGAAAGTCTTTGATATTTATGAATAATGAAAAATTTTCAAAACGATAAGTCGTAGAGACATGGGACCAACTGCATAAGATTCATTGACCTTTGACCTAAAAATATATGTAAAGGTCAAAGGTCAAGGTCATTCCAAAAATGAGAAATTAAGCTCTTTTTACAGCTCTTTTGTCTTTCAATATATACTATTGGTCTTTGCATCATTAATATTTACTCTTAAATCTATCCCAAAGATTTCATTCTTGTCCCCTAAGCTTAGCCCCTTTGAAAGTTATTGCCCCTTGTGCGAAAAACCTTGTTATCGCTACTTCTCCTAAACCGTAAATCGCAGAGACACGAAACCTTCACTAATGTCTTCAGGGTCTTTAGTCACAACTTCAGTCTATTAGTGCAAAAGGATCTGCTGACCCCTTATATGAGTTATTGCCCTTTAACGTCTTTGCACTTACTATTAAACCTTATAATTTTAAAACTAAAAGTCGTAGAAGGATGGGGTTAAGTGCAATGTGACCCTTGACCTTTGACCTTGAATATTTGTTCAAGGTCAAAGGTCAAGGTCATTTCCAAATTTCTAAAATTTTAATATTTTCCATCTCTCAAGCCATCTGTGGTTTCTCCTGTATAAAAATAAACAGTAGAGAGTTAAATGTGAAGAATATATGAAATTTAAAGAAGGTGGAAAGACCTCTAATTGTTCTAGAACAATTAGTCTACTAGTTATTAAGTCTTTCCACCTTTCTGTGGAAAGACCTATTGAAATGCTTATGTTTATTATTATTATTATTTTTCCGTTACCGCCTTTTGAACCGAAAAACTTTTCGAAGAACTTTATAGTTCATGATACTCGACATCAAAAGTTATTTCGAAAAACTACCCAACGAGTATGACCTATGACCCCTTTCGGAGTTCTTGCCCTTTGAACGAAAAACCTTGTTATCGCTACTCCTTCGAAATCATAAACCGCAGAGGTTCAAAACCATTACCAATGTTTTCAACTACTTGAGAGGACTTCTCAATCTTTACATTGCGAAATGATTTGTCAAGCCCTTTAATAAGTTATCGCCCCTGAGATTTTTTGATGTTTACGAATAATGAAAAATTTTCTTAACGATAAGTCGTAAGGAAATGGGACCAACTGCATAAGATTCTTTGACCTGATACCTTGAAGTTAAGGTCAAGGTCAAAGGTCAAGGTCATTCAAAATATAAGAAAATTAGCTCTTTTTATAGCTCTTTTGTCTTTCAACATATACTACATATCTTTGCATATTTAATTTCTCCTTCTAAAACTATTTTAAAGATTTCATTCTTGTCCCCCAAGCTTGACCCATTCAAAAGTTGTCACCCCTTTCGCAATAAAACCTTGTTATCGCTACTCCTCAGAAACCGTAAAGCGTAGAGATTCCAAACCTTCATCAGTGTCTTCGACTCATTTAGTACACTCTTCAATCTATAGAGTACGAAAGGGTTCTTCGGCCCCTTCTATGAGTTACTGTCCCTGAAAGTTTTCGCTGCTTACATTTAATGAACTTTTTTTCAAAGGGTCTAACCTAGAGACATGGAACCAACTGCATCGGCATATTTGATCTTTGACCTTGAAATATAGGTCAGGGTCAAAGGTCAAGGTCATTTAAAAACATAAGAAATCCCTTATATATGTGTAAAATATAGCAATTCACCAAATGACCTTGAACTCTGACCTTGACGTTTGACCTTGACATTGGGTCAAATGGAAAAGTTAGGACATGCATCCAGCTCCAGTATCAGGTAAAAACACAGAAAGTAAAGATTTCTTTTTTTTTTTTTTTTTTTTTTTTTTTTGTAATGACCTTGACCTTTGACCCTTGACCCAAAGGTCACAATCAGGCTTAAGGATGTGGAAGTAGTTACAATTCTTAGTTTAAAAGAGGCATAAAATAAATACTTCATCACCCCCCCCCCCCTTCTTAAAAAAAAAAAATCACATCAACAACAACGTAGAATATTTCTGGAAAATTCAAACCAGACCTCGGATCGACACCAAATTTGGTACAAATGTAGTATAGACCTCAGAAAAACTTTCTGGAGAGTTTTACGGTGAGTCTTGTAAGTTTATAGAAGTCATGAAGTTTCACGGCAAAAACTACAAGTTCTGTTGTATTTGAAATTTAAGTGCAGGTGAACGAAGAAATGATCTAAACCTTTTATCGGCTATTTCTTCAGATGTCGTTAGTAGCATTTAATTCTCCTGATATGATACGACATTTTAATACCAAGCATTCTCTCTTTCTTTTACATTTGGAATTTATTTGATTTTTATTTAGAATTAATCAGTTTCCAGAAATAGCGATTTTCGGTATATTAAAAACAATTCTCGCTTTCATTGTCGTGTTTCCCTTCTAAAAATGCATGTTGGGAATTTAATTTGGGCTACACATATTTAATTAAACCCAAAGAAATGCTTATTTAAATGTTTCATATTTATTTCAGGATATTCAGTCAGAAATGTTAAAATCCGAACCCGATCTTTTAAGCTCACAACAAAGCTATTTACAAAAAATTCAGCATGCTCACAATATCGATGAATCGGGCTACAGTCCATTAATACATTTTCATTAGGGAACAGTGTTAATGTTTTCTTACGCAGCCCGTCCCTTATTATTTTATATACTGCTTGCAAATTCAGGAACTATTTCCTTTTACGGAACTTCTTTCTTCCCCTACCGATTCTAAAAATACGCTTGCAATTCCTCTATAGTCTTCAACAATTAACATACCAATCTTATCGGAATGCGTAGCGCAGTGGTTAGCGCACCTGCCTTTCAAACCAAGGGTTTTGAGTTCGATCCCAGCTTGAGGAGAATTTTTTTTTTTTCTTTCATTTTTCTTCTTTTTTTCAACCCAAATGACATGGAAACACTTAAAAAGGTGGAAAGGCCTCTAATTGTTCTCTGAACAATTAGTCTCCTAGTTATTATTCTTTTTCTTCCCGGACTTTTGAAACCGCAAGACTTATCAAAAAACTTTACAGTTCATGATACTGGATATTAAAAGTTATTCCGAAAAACGACCCAACGTGTTTGACCTATGACCTCTTACAAAGTTATTGCCCCTTTCGCAAGAATAGCTTGTTATCGCTACTCCTTCGAAACCGTAAATCGTAGAGATACAGAACCTTCACCAATGTCTTTGACTACTTGAGAGGACTTTTCAATCTATTCATTGCGAAATGATTTGTCAACCCCTTCAATGAGTTATTGCCCCTGAAAGTTTATGAAGTTTACAAATAATGAAAAATTTTCAAAACGATAAGTCGTACAGACATGGAACCAACTGCATTAGATTCTTTGACCTCAGATCTTGAAAATTTTTTCAAGGTCAAAGGTCAAGGTCATTCAAAATTTGAGAAAATAAGCTCTTTTTATATCTCTTTTGTCTTTCATTATATACTAAATCTCTTTGCATCTTTAATATGTACTCTTAAAACTATTTCAAAGATTTCATACTTGTCCCCTAAGATTTACCCTTTTAAAAGTTGTTGCCCCTTTCACTGAAAACCTTGTTATCGCTACTCCTCCGAAACCGTAAACCGCAGAGACACGAAACCTTCACTAATGTTCTTAGGGCCTTTAGACACAACTTCAATCTATTCAGTGCGAAAGGATCCGATGACCCCTTATATGAGTTATCGCCCTTTAACATCTTTGCTCTTACTATTAAACCTTATAACTTTAAAACTAAAAGTCGTAAAAGCATGGGGTCAAGTGCAGTGTGACCCTTGACTTATGAACTTAAATAATTGTTCAAGGTCAAAGGTCAAGGTCATTCAATTTTTTTTTAATTTCATTTTTTCCATATCTCAAGCCATTTCTGGTTTCTTTTGTATAAAAATAAACAGTAGAGAGTTAAATATAAAGAATATATTTAATTTAAATAAGGCGGAAAGACCTCTAATTGTTCGAGAACAATTAGTCTTCTAGTTATTTTTACACTGAATTGTGAGCGTAATTTTTTACGTTTGCCCGATTATGATAAGGAGCACATGGCAGGTATGACCGGTCGACGGGGGATGTTTGCTCCTCCATGGCACCTGATCCCACCTCTGATGTTTTTAGAGGCCTTTGTGTGCTCTGCTCCGAATTTATATTGTTACAAAAAACATTTTAGTTTGAGTACTGTTCGTTATCTAATATTTCATCAGTTCACTTTATTTTCTTATTGTGCACTTTATTTCAATATCTTCCTATATATTTTAGGTTTCCAGAATTTTGTCAGATTATTGACAACTTTAGAACAACGTAGTATTAGGGATAGTAATTTGTAACCAATTTTTGGGTTTCTCGTTGGGAACGAATGTAATCGTCCAGAATATTTGTAATCGGTTAGTCCAAAAATATTAAATATGTGCATACTTGAGCGCAATTACTTGAACGCAATTTACTGTAAATTAAGTTTTAAAATACCTGAGAGTTCATTAAGTAGCGTTTTCATCTATCTCATTAATCTAGTTTTGGAGGTATTTAAGTATCTACGGATCGAGGGGTGGTTGATCAATTTGTAAATGTTATATACTGAACACCATGTCAATACCCAGACTATCCAATTTTTCTTTAATGATATTTATTAAATCACCATTGAATACTGTGAACTGATTATATCCATTACATATATAGAGAGAGAGATATCCTTTGCAATATGCTTATCTTAATTTTATCTTGTCTGCATGAATAGAGCTTACATTAATATATATATATATATATATATATATATATATATATATATATATATATATATATATATATATATATATATATATATATATATATATATATATATATATTATTCGGTTAATTGGTTTATAGCCCGAAACGTCTTGCGGTTAACGATTGGCTATTCTGCATTCAGTTGCCATCCCCATTTAGTTTGCAACTTATTTCAGAATTATATTCGCTGAATTTAAAATAACAATTTCTACTATTTGAAAACATTTTTAATATAATACATGTGTAAGATTTGTAGTAATAATAAATGATTTATAAATCACCTACCTTGGATGTTTTCATTTATGCTTTTTATTTACTTTTACTTTTAAGTTCTTATATTTATAATTCACATATTTCAGACCAAATAAATGAACAGTCGGATCAGGTCAGTAAAACCCAAATTCTCCAATATCTAAAAATAGCTATGATATTTGGCTGTTAGTTAAAGCATACAGAAGGTAAGTTTTGTATTTCATCGTTTTTGGCCCAGTGGTTCTTAAGGTGGTATGGGATACCAGACGAAACCTTTTCTTCGTATTTATTAACCTAAATAAGTAAAATTTGAAATGCTCCCACCTTTCAGTTTGTTTTATTGTAATTCTGATATATTTTTAAAATTACTTTATTAAGAAATACAAAACTTATTTTTCGTTATATAATTTTTTTTCAAAAGCATAATATTATAGTCCAGAGTTGACAAACATAGAGTTGATATAAAAACAATAATGACAAGAAATGTCTTAGTATTTTTTTTAATTTTCAACAACAAAAAATAGGCATTAAAAAAACTGGGAAAACTTCATTTCTTGGAAATGATACTCTAAGATGGATAAATTCCATGGTAGTCTACAATTAGAAACTGTCTAAATATGTTAACAAAGTGAAATATACAATTTGAAAAAAATATACCTAAATAGGAAATATCAGATGCATTTGAAAAATTTTGAAATAAAAGATCCGGATGGAAGAGTTATCCTCTTTATTTTCAAAGGGTTGAAATAATCTGGGTGCTATTACAGAAATCACGAGCATTTCCCCCCAACCTCTGTGCAGTGGTAGTTTTCACTATGAACTGTTTTAAAAACAATGCATTAACAATCGCTTTCCAAGATGTGTCTTCTTTAGAGCAATTGCAATTTAAGTTCTAAAAGTTTTGGGCTAAATAAAACAGCTAGTTGATTTGTGATTGGTAATTATTCAGCACAATGTGAAGTAATCAAACATGTACTTATTAAAAGCCACACAGCACATACGGTGCTGTACAGTTACTCAAACAATTGAAATAATCTTTTGCTAAGAAGTGCTCAAAAGCAGCGATGTTTATCTTTTACAGGCTTTGCTTTTTAAGTGTCCATAGTACAATTAGTAGTTAGATATTTGCGGGGTTTTTTTGTTGTTGTTTTTTTTTTGTTTGTTTTTTTTTTTCTTTTTTTGTTTTGTTTTGTTGTTTTTTTTTTTTTTTTTTGTTTTTTTTTTTTGTTTTTTTTTTTTTTAATGAATAAAACGTCAACTTGTGAAAATTTCATTAAAATATTTTTTATGTTATTTTAAACGGTGTATCTGTAAATTTTGACCAGATAATAAACACTCAACCAAATCAAAACAATGCTTCAAACGGAGGTACGTCATACTACCTTAAGAACTTCTGATTTTTCGAGATCATAGGTTTTACACTAGATCGATAAATTGTTGTTTTCTTATAGAACTAAGCATTAGCTGTTTATATATATATATATATATATATAAAGCACTAAAAACCAACAACAACACTGTATATCCTAAGTGTCGGATCTACTAAGTAGATACAAGGTCACGGATGGAAATTTATATAAATCACTAAAAATGACCAACGACACGAACAATAATAATTGTCAAATTTTCGGGACGACCTGTCCCTTCCTCAGGACAAAGAAAAAAGCTAAGAAGTCATAAAAACAAAGGAAATAGAGAAGCAAGAACAACTAGCACTACTACTAAACTATATATATATATATATATATATATATATATATATATATATATATATATATATATATATATATATATATATATATATATATATATATATATATTGCTTATGTTTTCTTTTGTAGCCTTCATTAGAAGAACTTTTTAACAAAAGGTTTGACAGATTAGAAAAGACATTTACGTGTACAATTGAAAGTTTGACGCAAGAATTTCACAGGGCAGAAGAGAGATTCCGATTGGCAACTGAAGAACTACGCCTTGCTTTACAAAAAATCGAAGACCTTGAGAAAAGATTGACTGAAAATAAAAATGAAATTACTCGATTGTCGTCCTTATTAGATGACAGAAACAGTCAACTAAACGAGAGAGATCGAGAGCTTGAAAGGAAAGATACTGAGATAAGGGAACTCGAAAGACAATTAGATCAACGTAGAAGAGAAAACGAACGAATGCAGAGAGAAAAGGAAGCTCAGCAGAGAAAATCTTCTGAACTTAAACGGGAGAACGAAAGATTAGAGCGTGAGAAAAACGAATTAAAGGCTGAAATTGAGAAAAGTGGCAAGAAAAATAAAAAATAAAATGTATCTCCTTTTTATTTTCATAGGCAATGTTTCAAAATGTTTGGCGGGTCAGTTTCTTGGAAAAGAAGGAAATTGAAATAAAAAGATATTTCATTTTGAAATTTAAAACGTTGTTTGTACAACTACAGTTGGTGTATTTCTGTGAGGTTTCATAAAGGTTGTCCAAGCCATCTGCGAGAGCTTTCGCGGACAAAATATATTACAGGTGGAACACTTACATCCACTTTGTTCGGGGTGACATAAAATATTATTTTATAAGAACTTCCATAACTATATAAGTTAGTGTCTGATAATGATTCTATTATTAGACACGTGAACAAAATAAATAACACTCTCTCAAATAAACCTACGCAATCTGACCTTGCCGAGTTTTTTTCACATCCGTTTTGATTTAATTCATTCATAAGCAACGTGGTTGACACAATCAATGAATTTTTAGTGGCGATTCTACTTGAAGAAATATAGAACACCGCAGACTAAAAGGTTAGTCAAAATTTATTTTGCAAGCATAAACAGAATATGTGCATGGTAATTATGCATTTAGTTTAGTGCATTGTTTATATAATTTAGTAAGAATCGCATCTTGACCCAAATGTGCAAATCTATTTTTAACGCCAACGCATGGAAAGTACAGTAATATTCAGTGCAAAACTGAATGAAATTCCTGTGTATGTGGGCAAAAATGGAGAAAAACGTAAACATTACATTCAACAAGTTAATATAGTTCTAGATAATATTGGCCATATTAAATAAACGGTGGGTCTTATTATTTAAGTTCACCAAAAAGTTTTATATTTTTGAAATCGTTTTGGAAACGACCTTTTGCACTCTGCAAAAATTCTTCATTTTTATAGTAAATGTGAAAAAGGATTAAAACAAACATATTCTAAAAAACAAAATGTGATAAACCATTATGTTTATCAAGATCTCGAACAAATGTGTATATAAAGGCATCAAACAATTGTACATATATAAATCTATTGCGATTGAAGCATATAATATCTACCATTTTAAGCCTTAATGCTGGAATTATTATTTATCTTTATGCCCCCGTAACAGAAGATTTGGGGGCATATTGTTTTGTTCTGTCCGTCCGTCTGTCTGTTTGTCCACAAAAACTTCAACCTTGTCGCTAACTTTCGATGAATTGGAACTATGGCTTTCCTATTTCACATGTGTATTCCTGTGACAAGACCTTTGTTTGGGTACCAACATAACTGACCTCTTGACCTTAGCGTTTGACCCACCATTGCAAACTTTTACCAAACTTTAACTTTTGTAGAGTTGGTGCTAGGGCCTTCATACGTCACATCTGTATTCTTTGTGATAAGACCTGTCCTTGGGTATAAATATTTGTTACCTTTTGACCTTGGAGTTTGACCCACTTTTTAAACACTTTAATCTTGGCAATAACTTTTGAACGGTTAGGCTTTCATATTTCACAGGTGTATTCCTATAACAAGACCTTCCATTAGATATCAGTGTTGAGCATTTGACCATGACCTACTTTTGAAATCTTGGTCATAACATTTGAACAGTTGGTGCTAGGCTTTCATTTATCACATGTGTATTTCTTGTAACAAGTCCTTCCCTTGGGTACCAACAATTATGACCCTTTGATCTTGACCTTGGAGTTTCACCTACTTTTCAAAATACTTTAACCGCGGACATAATTTTGGAACGGTTGATGCTGGGGCTTTCATATTTCACAAGCGTATTTCTTGTGACAAGACCTCCCCTTGAACCCATTAATTTTTGCCATTTGGCCTTGACCTTGACGTTTGACTCACAAAACCTTTAACTTCGTCACAACTTGTTTTGGTGCTAGGGCTTTCATATGTCACCGTTATATTCCCTGAGACAACACCTTTCTATTTTTTTTATTTATACATAATTTTATTCACATGAAGTGAATGGGATTAGGCATCAGGCATAGCCTATTTTAGCCCTCTCCCTACAGCAAGGTCAAGGTAAATACACTGCATAACATTAATTAAACAAACATTTAAAAAATGCGAGGAAAAAAACGGGGGGAAAAAATACAATGAAGTACCGGTTTGGAAAAATTGACAAAAGTTATATATACATTTACATGACAGTGTTCAAGTAAAACGTTTTCTTGCTGCTATATATGCATGTACTGCTTCAAAAATTTGTATATTAATATTGAGTCCATGATCAGGACTACCATATAATAATAATTTAAGTTCAGAAACCCGATTACAGTCAGTAATATTTTGAATTCTTTGAAAAAGTATATCTCTATAAGATGTATATTTTGAACAAGCGAAAAAGTAATGATTAGCATCTTCAACAGAATCAATACAGTGTTCACACATTGGTGTTTCTGATAAACATTGGCTATATAAGTCTGCCTTTAAATTACTTGCATTGTTCCTTAACTGACAATGTATTATATTGTATTTTCTTATTCCAATATGAAATAGTTCATTACTTTTTTTACAAAAATAAGAATTCAAAAGACTTTTGAATGATGATATTCCAGAAGCATTTCTAATAAGATCTGGCAAGTTATTCCATAGTTTAACTGTTGATGGAAGGAAACTTTCCATGTATGATGTAGTTCTAATATGAGGAATTTTAAATTGTGCATCACTGGTTCTAAGATTATAGGAATGATTTGATGGGCGATAAGGCTCAATCAAATCATGCAAATATTGAGGTGAATAGCCATTTATAATTTAATAAAACAATATCAATTTATGAACCTTCCTTCTTGTTTGTATAAGATCCCACCCTAATTCATCATACAGTTTTGAAGGAGAGGAGTTACATCTTAACCCAGTGATAATTCTACCTGCTTCAACTTGAATATCTTCTAAAAGTTTTGAGTCTTTTTCAGAGCAATTGTCCCAAACAACATCGGAATATTCTAAAACAGGTCTAATAAATGCAAAATATATCTTAACAAGTGTTTTCCGCCTAACCTTATACTTAAGCATTCTGAGGATATTTAGTCTTTTTGTAGCTTTGTCATGAATTGATTGTATATGCAATGTCCACGTAGCATCTCTTTGAAAGTGTAGACCTAAATGGGTATGAGATATATTCTGAATTATGTTTGGACCATGTTCCCCAAATTTGATAGGGGGATATACCATGTTTTTACGACTAAAGTCCACGTTAACAGTTTTGTTTGGATTAAAATCAACTAGCCATTTTTTTGACCATTTATCAATAAGTTCAAGATCACTAGTAAGGGATTGTGTTACATTTGTGGCTCCATTGTCCACAATGGCATATAAGGAAGTATCATCAGCAAAAACACCTTTCTATGGGTAACACCTTTTTTTATCTCTTGACCTTGGAGTTCGATTTGCATTTGAGAAACTTTTAACATTTGCCATATGCTGCCATACGGGGGCATCAGTGTTTCAAAAACACATCTTGTTTTCTTCATTTATTTATTATTATATTTTTAATTTTTATCCATTTAATGAACCCCATGAATTACTTTAAGGCTTGTCTTGACTAGGAAAGCTAAAGTGGTTCTTAAAAGTCTGATGGAGACCATTTTTTCTACCATCAAAGATGTTCTACAGAACCAAGCAGAACCTTATCATTTAGAGATAGCAATTCAGATCCGAAATAGTAAGCCATTATTTCATACCTTCTTTGATTTAATTTCAAAGTTAGGATTAGTGACTTACCTTTTTCTATCTCTTATCAATTTCTTTCGATAGATAATATCGACGATAGGGACCAGTGTCTGTGTAAAACCTATGAATGGGATGTTGGACTTGATGGATTGTGTCTTACGGTAAAGGAAACACCAGAAAAACCGGAAGTCTTATCAGATAAACCAAGAAAGGAACAGATTCCAGTTATCACAACAAGCCTTTCAGAGGAAGGATCTTCTTTTACTTACCATGTACATATACTGCTATATTGAATCCTGAAATCAATTGGTCGAGACAAAGTACATGAAAGAATACTGTATAAGTAAAAAGAAAGTATAACGAAATATAATATAATACATGTACTCATACATATATAAGCAATATTAATTATAGGGTGATGTTAGCAGGTTGAAGCATTTATAAGGTTGTATCTATAATGACAAGGGGAAGATAACGAACAGTGATCTATCTCATAATAATCTACAAACAATACAAAATGTAAACAGGGCATAAAACACGAACCCCTGGAAATTCCAGAGGTGGGATCAGGTGCCAAGGAGGAGTAAGCATCCCCTGTTGACTGGCCACACCAGCCGTGAGCCCTATGTATAGATCAGGTAGTCAAATACCGTAAGTAAAAAAACAAAGGCATAACAATTGGTATGAAATACGTCAGACAACATACGGCGAAATGACAGTTTATATTTGCTAACAAAGTCATTATAATTACCATAAAATTTACGAAATGTTGACTTTAAACGAGGTTGTTGAAATTCCTGTAACAGCAACTTATCTGTCAGTAGCCCTGCCTCGGTTTAAAAGATGATCTCTCGGAGCATACTTGTGAGTATCGAATAAGTTGGGAGATGTGAACACCACATGCAGGTGAAAGAGGGATATCACTACATAAAAAAAGGAAAGTTCACGATAGAAAAGCTGAAGTCATAATGAATACCGTACAATCTTTATTTTAATCTTTAATGTGAAAGTTTTTTAAGTAATATTATTGTAAAGTATAATTTTGGCGATAGAATTATTAGTATTCAAATATAAGAAAAGGGCTACCAAGGAACTGTCTTATGCATGTTATACCCTCCAGATGAGATAAGTATAATTTCTATAAATGAGAATTTATCACATAACCTGTTCTTAACTTATAAACAGGAAGTAAATGACGTAACAGTAAATAATTCTCGCACTGAAGAACAATTTAAAAGCATCCAGTCTACACTACTGGAACTTTGCAACGGAATTAAGAAGATTGAAGAAAGCAAATCATCAACGAAGGCAGAAAAAGACAGAAAAAGATTGCCATCTCCTATTCGCAAAGTTGCCAACAAGTATCAGCATGCATTTGGTAAAATTTGATTTTAAACTAATTTCCATTAAAAAATATTTTCTATCAACATTGGACTCATGTATATAGTGTGTCTTTATTGAGAAAATAAAGCATACATTGAAAAGAAGGGTATACATTAAATCACATAAAATCAACAACAGGCTAAAGTTATGATACCTATGCTAGGCAATAACTCATGTTTTGAATTTGTATTCCAGCATATGCGTTTATTCGTCAGTTTGGACGCCTCCTTCAGTTGGATGAAAGACATTTGGATGAAGTGGAGCAATATTCGGGATATGGAACAAAAGAGGTCTTCTGGCAAATTATTAGAATATGGATGGAGAACTCGGAGTCTCAACACATGACTGTTTCAAATCTATTGACAGCTCTCTCCGAATGTGGAGTAGATCTTAAAGGTATAGTCTGATTGTTGTAGGCATGGTCTCTAGGTAGGGTATTGCTGCCAAATGTAGGAACTACAGAGAAAAATGTACATAGTAGCTAATTAAACAAAATATACAGAAAAAAATCATTTTGAAGAAAGAGTTCCATATATTCCTTAAAGATATACACGCTATATAAACGCGATTTTTTATGTGAAACAAAATGATTTGAAAAACATGATGTGTAATAAAAAATAATTACTTTCCACAAAGTTAAGTCGTTGTAATTACAAAACTATTAAGCAAGATCTGCAATTAAAAATTCAGCCTATTCATGAATATTGATGAAGGAAGTGCGTAAACAGTATACGCATGTCCGCGGGAAATCATAGACAACGAGGTACGTTGCATTTTGACTACGATTTTGAGTAATAGTTAAAATGGTTAATATCTGTCATTACAGAGTAGATGGTTAATACTGGTTGTTTTCAAAGATAAGTATCTGTAAGCATGAAACGTATGCCATCCATGTCAAAAGTTATTTTGTATACCAAACGGCCTACCTCGTTTTCTTGACGCCATTTTTGTTTATCAATCTAAAAGTAGCGACGGTGTCACATGATGCATGAATATAAATAGAGGCATTACTTTCCTAGTAGGATAATAAATAATTATAATTTGAGATCTTTATAATGCGTTCATTTCCAATTGTGTAATTTACAATATTTTCGTAACTTTATTTGGTAAACAAAATAGATAAATTTCCAACTTTATTTTTTTAACTGACGCAAGTTATAGCGTGTATATCTTTAAATATAGGGAAGTAGTACATGTATTTATAAATATGCTAGAAATAATAATGAATCATCTTAAGATGCAAAAGAGTTAAATATTCATATTCATTTCATATAAGTAAATTTCACCCTTGTTTAACAAAATTAACATACATGTAGCACTGTTACAGGTAAACAGATGTCAAAAACTGACAGAACAATTTTAAGAAGTAAGATGGCGATTTTATTGGAGTCTGTCAATCCTGTAGAGGCTCTTGTCCCATATCTCTGCTCACGTCATCTACTTTGTGAGGTCACGAAGGCTTACGTCACTGCTCCCAAAACATCAGATTTGAAGATCAACCGATTAGTTGATATTCTAATAACTAAAGAAAATGGACTTACAGATTTCTGTTCAGTTCTTCGTGATGGTGGATATGACTACATCGCTCAGGACATCGAAGGTAAGAGTAAACCTGAAGATGTTAGTCAAACCAACTACATGTTTTGTTTTGATGCTACAATTATGACAAGTCATGTATACAGTTTAAAAACTTACGTTTGTGAGCAGATAAATGCAACATTTTCTGATACTTTTATATATTAGTATTGCCCTGTCAGCTGAATTTAAACATAGAAATAAAAGCAATGGAAAAGATAGAAAAATTGACGTATTTATGTAACCGTTAAGAATTAACAGAAGAAGAATATTTCAATTTGTCATAGATTTTTGAAACGCCTTATGGGAAAAAGCTAAATATAATACTTGTGAAAAAAGATGAACATGGGAAAAAATGCATATTCTCAAAGTGAGTTGGTGTCATGGAAACATTTCTTGGTTATTGGTGTTCTATTGGTTAGTAGATACCACGAAGTCGAAGGTCACCTGGATTCCTCTTTCTTCCATTTCATTAATGTATTTTAACAATGATATAGTAAAGAAATGATTTTAATGTATGTAGGAAATATAGTCCCACCATTTAAAAGGTACATTTTTTTTTCCACAACAGAAAAACATTGTTACCTTAATTTGTAGATATGGCTAACTACTGATAAAACTTAGAATCAACCTATACGATAAATAATTTTATTACATGTTTAGTCCTTTATATAGTGGTTATAGATCATAGAATATCGTTTTCATATCACGCTTGTTACGTCACAGTCACAAATCATGGGAGATCCTATATATCTTCAATTTCTTGTACTTGTCTTATCTGATATATACATAAGAGTATCAATATCTTTTTATTTTTAATGTTTGGTGTTCTTCAGTCAATAAAGCTTTATCCTGATAGGTTTCTTTTTTTTCCCTAAATTCGTGCAATTTCCAAATTTGGAGAAAACGGTTTTTGAAACATGTGTCCTTAAATTCTTAATAAACGCATATATGTGTATAAATACAATACAACTTTTTAGAGGTGTAGCATTAAAACACATTTTATTCTGCTTGTGTTTATAACATGTTAAACATAATCAAAATACATAAGAATTAATAATTATATACAACATTGTTTTTAAAGCGGAGAGATCGGTGGCAAGTTTAGGAACTGCTTCCCGATTGTCATCTCTGTCGAGTTCAACGTCAAATTCTTTTCCCTCTCTGCGAGAGTCCATGTCTGACTCGAACCCTCACCTACGAAGAATTGCTGAAGATTATATACAGAAACACGGTAGTCTATCGTCCGTATTCCGTAAAGGTTCCGACACGTCTTTACATACAACGGCAAAGGTAGCAGCGGTGTCTCCTAACATCCAAAGAAAATTGACACCACAATCCAATGACATTACAATCAAACCCGACTGTGTTCAAGAAAAAACACACGAGTTAGATGAAGCAATTGACAATGAAACTATTTCTCTTGTTTCAAATGGAAATAAGGAGAAATGTTCATGCAATGTCAAGCCCAGCCAAAATGCACAATTAAAACAGAAAAAGAAATGTTGTTGTGTTCTCATGTGAGGCATTCAGAATCGTATTATTAGTAAATGTACTTCTTTGAAAAATATTTGATAAGCCATTCCCTTTGACAGCTACTAGCTGTTGTTTTGTCTCGCAATGGTAAAATTTGTTTTCAAGACAATAAAGGTAACTCCTTCTCTGTAAACAATGCTAATACATCCATGCATCGTGGATCTTATAGATACTATAGTATATTACAGATTTAACCATTGATCATGTTCTTATGAAGGGCAAGCACTATTTACCTTACAATTTACATTCCAATCTTTTTCTTAATCGTGCTTGTAAGTTGTTTATAAATAAGTAATATTTTCTATTTTTGTGAAGATCACTTTATAAAATTAATACACATATAGAAAATGAATTAAATATCGGAAAATCTGGCAATTATAAAATCATATTAAAAAAAATACAATTTATACTATGAATATGTGTATATGTGGAATTTCATTGATTTTAAGATGTTGAAAATCCCCTTTCCTATGTAAAACAAGAATATTTTATTATATCATTTTTGGTAGCTGTTGTGATATTGATAAGCCTGTACTATCTACGAGGATCTCAATATATCAGAAAAGTATTTCAGATCAGTAGAAGGATCATAGACGGACAAAATCAGCTTAGATCATGCACATTTGTGTGTTACAGTATGATTCCATGTTTGAATTTGTGAAATTTTGCCTCTTATTTGCCTTGGAAGAAAGAAAACGTTTTCACTAACAAAATAAATAAACGTAAAAGTCATCAGAACATCCTTTAATTGAATTATAAGGATTTGTTGAAAAGCAAAGGATGTTAATGTGAATTAAACAGTACATGTATTTAATATCATATGTCAGGTTGTACATTATTTGTTTCTTTTTCAATAACTTTGTACTTTTACAACAAATCACTATTTTATTTCCTTTAATTTTTTTAAGTGCGTAAGTTTATGTCATTTTATAAGTTGTTTTAATGTTTATTGAATATTTAAGGAATCACTGTCTAGTTTGTTGGGTATGACAGGGCATCAACAGGACCTGTTTAATTATTAAGAAATCAACTCACCTAACTTTTAAAGAGTTTTCACAGAAAAAGCCATTAGAAATGTAGATATTTGTCTTCAAACGTGATTTTTTAAATTAATATCCTAGTATTACATGTAGCTTATCTAAAGAATAGTGTTTTATTTCAAAGTTGTTGGCAGTTTTAATGCATCGCCGATATATGGCTGAAATAATGCCGTAAGACATCAATCAATCAATTTTAATGCATATATATTTCCATTTCTGTACATAGCTTTGAAGGATAGTACCTTTCAATATTATAACAATCACATATTAACAAAATTTTGATAGGCAAAAGATACCAGAATGGATCAATTTTTTTTTGGTTTAAATTGCTTTATCATTTTTGCTCAGTCGAACCACCAAGAATCTACCTCAGATATTACCTTTGAAGGAATGAGAAACTAATATTTCGTGATTATAACGAATTTTGATGTTGATAAAAATCGAACTTTAATAATCCATCGATATAAGAATTATATTGTTCAAATGAATTCTGATTACTGTTTCAAATTTCTTGTTCTTTATATTTTTTTATAAATGTCATGCGTATTTTTCCGTGAATATTATTGTTTATCTTTTTTTACACGATATAGAGAGCTTGCACTGACGTGTATAAAATAGCTCAATACATTTTGATGGGTTTTTTTAAAGCAGAATTTGATCTGTTTAAATTTTAAAGATATTTTTTTTCATATTCACTTTCAACTCCAATGTGTTCAGTGATTTGTTCAATTTACATCAAGTGTTCTAGAGATGCTCTATGTACATAGATATGATACTGTGATGACCACGATAGACTTGTTCCAGTTTTCATGGGTAATTTTACTTTTGACAATGTCGTAACATCAACAATTTGTTTTGGTAAAACAAAATGTGTTTGTGAAACAATGCTGCTCCCGTATAGCAACTTAAAGCAAAGGTTAAACCTTCTCAAATGCAAATCAAATATGTTGGTACCCAAAGTAAGGACTTTCTTGTCTCGAGGAATATACCTGTGAAATATGAAAGCCATAGCAGCAACCATTGAAAAGATATGGAAAAGGTTAACGTTTTTCAAAAGTAAGTCAAACATCAAGGTCAAGGTCAAATGGTCAAATTTAATGGTGCCCAAGGAAAGGCCTTCTCACAAGATATACACTTGTGAAATATGAAAGCCCTAGCACTAACCGTTCAAAAGTTATGGTCTAGGTTAAAGTTTTTCAAAAGAAGGTCAAACTCCAAGGTCAAGGTCAAAGTTGTTGGTATCCAAAGTAAGGTCTTGTCACGAGGATTAGATATGTGAAGTATGAAAGCCCTAGCACCAACTGTTCAAAAGTTATGGCCAAGGTTAAAGTTTTTCAAAAGTAGGTCAAACTCTTAGGTCAAGGTCAATGAGCTACAATTGTTGGTATCCAAAGGAAGGCCTTGTCACAAGGAATACACACTTGAAATGTGAAAGCCCTAGCTCCAACCAATCAAAAGTTATGGGCAAAGTTAAAGTTTTTGCGGACAAACAGAAAGACAAACAGACGGACGGACAAGGTAAAAACTATATGCCCCCGAATCTTTGATTACGGGGGTTTAAAAATAATGTATGATAAAGAACAGATATGAGATAGATATTGGCATTAGTTTCTGTTAATTATATTTATTGCATACAAAATAGAACTGTGAAGTTTTGCTTGTAGTTAACTGTTTTAAATTTTGTATAAATAGTATATTTTTAATCTTATTACAATTTATATCATGCTTAGAGTATATACATGTATATTAGTTTAATTACTATGAATGTTTATACTTTTAAAACCACGCCTTTTTGCTATACTGATTAGATAGTTAAATGTACATGTATATGATTAAACGAATAGAAGTACCTGTTTTTCCTGACACAAAATTAGAGTCAAATAGAGGCATATACCCTTAGGAAATATGATCAGCCCGCCCCCCGATTAACCACATTTTCACAGCTGTTTTCAAGATTTCAATATAAAATTCTTCCAAAATGGATGAAATTGCTGCTTTTAAAATATGGATGAAAAACACTGGAATTTCTGAAGTTTCTTTCTCGTTCGATTTCATTTATTATTTCCTAGCTTTCTTCTTGAAGTGATGGGACGGCACATATCCTGTTGTTGCTTGCAGTCTTATTGATGGATAAACAAAAGTCACAGAATAACTTATGTTAAATTATGTTTTAATATTGTTTATATGTAAGAGTTGTCTTTCTTTAAATACTAATTCAATAATATGAAATTTCTCTTTCTTTAAAAAGACGTAACAAACACTTCTTCATGTTTTGATGCAACAAAGTTCATTAATGTTGCTCAGATATACATGATACATTTCATATGTCTATAGTAGAAACCATATAGTGCATTTCAAATGCATCAACCTGTGCACAATGCAGTCAGTACTAAATATATAAGCAACTTGTTCACTGTGCGGGCTGTGGAACTCTTCATGCATTTCACGACCTTGTACTTTTGATCCATCGTAAAACATAGTTCCTTATTCAACTATGTCCATTGCAGTCGGTTTTTAGCCTCCTAGATACTTTACATGTGTACTTGGATTATGTTGCATTGCCAGTGACTTTTATGTTGTAATAGGTAATACACTCCACTGCATACAGGCTCAAATTTGTTGTCAGTGAAAGGAGCTTCCTTCTCACTTTCTCTCTGCACGTGGCATTTTGTTGCCCCTTTCCATAAAGTTCTTATAAAATTTAATTTTTCTCTTGTACAACCAAACAAGGTGTCAACTATCTACTACTGATACTTTGATCACAGATAACCGAATCATCGCGTCATTCAGACCCCGGGTCACAAAATGCCACGTGTGATCGTACACCCGGGATCCTGTATATTACCATAGCCAACATATGTATAACATTACACATCAAGGCTTGTTTGTCACGCAACGAGACTCTTAACATTAGCGTGCCCAAAAGACACCAGCATCGAATTTTTAAGGGGCAATAACTCAAGCGAACTGTACAAGTTTTTGTAGGTAGTCAGTTCGAGTTTCTCTTCAGTTCAAATTTCTTCAGATAAAAATACAAACTATGTTTCATTTTTCTCTGATGTAATGTCGGTATCGTGTATGATTAATGACAGGTAAGTGAAGGTGAAGTATTTTCGGATTAATTATACTCTGAATAGGAACGTGCCAACAGAGATATAAATTAAACTCAACACCCGTATAAAAATGGACCCATTTGCATATAAAAATTGAGGTCACGCATTTCAGAATATAAAAACATATTTCAGTATGAGAAAGGTATACTTTGAAATTTGTTGATACATTATGTTGAAACTTACATACACATAAAGAACCCTGACAAAATTGTTTCTAAAGGTTGGTCACTCATCAGATATTAGGATTTCAATCAATAAGCACTAAATCTTAAAATGTATATCTCAATTTGCTTTTTCAAAAAAAAATTTATTTTTGTTTATTAATCTAAGAAATCTAAAAGGGAAAATCATAACTGCTTCTTAAACTGACATGTGAAAGGGGCTATAGTTTCTGATATGAATATTTTTGTAAATCTATCGTTTGAAAGACGCATAAGTTTCAATATTTCGAATTTGTCCTACCAATTGCAAGTTTCAAGGCAAACCAAGAATAAACCTCTGAAATACGGAATAAGCACGTGCTCTGTCTTCATGGCGAAAAAATATATCTTTGAAGTATGTGGAAACGTTTACGTTAGTTGTATATATATTGTATGTAGAATTCTCCATTTCGTGTAGCTATAATTGTTGTTGTCATTTATCTGTTGCAATAACATGAATTGTAAATGAGGAATAATGTTCAAGAGTGCAAAGAGGTCAAACTCATTTACTACAAGAGGCAAAATCTATCGTGATTTTGAAATGTGTTGCAAAAAAAGATATTTAAAATATCCTTGATAAAGTCATACTGAGATGTGACCGTCCTTAATGTGCAACTTTGGGTATATTACCTGGTTAATAAAAATGGTAAAAGCAACATAACGAGTAAATACATTTCAGAACTCAAGTATTGTGACAACGATAATGTATGATATACATTGTATATGGTCAAGTGTACTTGTCATAGCAATACCTATTTTTGTATCTTCTAGCCTAGGTTTAGGATATTTTGCATGTGGATGTCTCACCATAAGATAGTGTATCATGTTCTATCATGACCTTCAGATGTCCCCGACCTTTGACCTCATGGTCAAATAACTGATCGCTAGTAAATGTTTACGACATTCTTAATATTCTACCTAGGCACTTGATATTGATATTTAGCATCTGGATAACCATCAAAGGATAATGTGTCATGACATAATAACGACCTTGACCTTAAAGAAAAAAGTGTTTTGGCTAGAGAGACCATCAGAAATAGATTTTGTTTAACGTTTAACGTTTGATTCTGAGACATGTGGTCATGGCGTCATATGAGGATACTTGTAAATGTCATGTCCCATATAAATCTATGACCTTCAACTTTAGGTCAAATTATTTGCCTCTAGAGGAAAAAATTGTCCTTTATAACACTCTTTTATATAATGTAAGTTGTTGTTACGATTGATATGTTGTCACCACGAATGAATGTATTATATGACGTCATGACATCTGAGTGTTTTGACTTTTGAATATAAATGAAAAAAAAAATAAAACGTCTTAGTCTACCTAAACAAAATTTCAAGATATTCACAATCATTGCAAGTGTAAAGAAATTGTCATCATCTTTTTTTCTCTGTTTTGCTATCTTAGAAGCCAAGGGTTTTCAGTACGCTTCGCTCCCCACATACACCACTAAATTTGTGGCCGACTTAGGCGACATCTTCTGGACGCACTAAATTTTAACTCCGAATCAGGCAACAGTTTTCAATTTGTCGTTTGGTATCCATTATAAACAAGAAATGGAGATGTACATGAAAGCAGAGATTAAAGAACTGCAGGAGATAATTAAAGGTTTATCAACGGAAAAAGATAAAGTGAAAATATAAGGTATAGGTGTACAAGAACACGGAGTAGCAAAACATTTATAGATGATTGTTCGTCTGTTGCTTTTATAAATGATTTATTGTGACATGAAAGCAGTCTTCTCGTTGATTTCATCAAGGGTCTAGCTTCAAAATGTTCAAATAAAACAACAACACAGCTTGGAAGAAACAACGTATCAGCCACAGTTTTAGTGGCGTAATCTGCCAAGGGTGTAGGAGAGCCAAAGCGGACCGAAAATCCTTGGCCTGCTAAGATCCTGCTTTGCTTGCTCATTTTCGTTTTATAAAGCTTAACTTCCTGCGTGTTATTTTCAGATTATTTGTTAAAGCAACGCGACATTGCTGCTTAATATTTATGTTAATATATTATTTTTAAAAAACGTCATGCCATACCTACTTTTTTTGCAGGAATGAAATATTTCATGGTTTTTGACTTTACTGAGAAATAGCTTTAACTCCTTGGTTTCTTTAAATGGATTAAAAGGCATATCGAAAATTTGTTGAAGATCAGTTGCTTAACTAACTCTAAAATTATTGAAATAAAAATCCAGGATATCACACAATTTATATATACATGTTTATTGATTTAAATATAAATTCATATATATATATATATATATATATATATATATATATATATATATATATATATATATATATATATATATATATTGATTTAAATATAAAGCCATGGAAGGTAGAAGAAAAGAATAAGTTCTCTCTCCGTCTCACTCTCTCGCAGCTCTAGTACCTACATCATTATAATGCCGTATTCCGATAGTCATTATCGATATATTAAGGAGAGGTAGACAGCTTTTAATCCATTGTTGCTGATTTTTGGTTACATTGCAGAGGTTGTTGTGTATCATATTTTCTTTGAGGAACACCTGCCGATAATGAGTATCGATTTAGACGTGCTACATTCTACACGATGCATTATATAATTCTAATATCGATACTTGGACCCGGGGAATTATTGTTGATGCGCCTTTCCCTCAATATTCATAACTCTATGAGCTCCTAATTTAATATTTATTACATCAAGTCGCCTATTGATAACATGACATTTCTTGATAAGGTTTTAAAGGAAATATATTTGCAGATAGATGTGACAAGTACAGATATAATTTGCCGTTACATTGTTTTATCGACCTCTTGACTAAACGGAAAATTCAAATATTTACATGCCTTGCCGTTTGCATGATTAGGGGTAGCAAGGAACCCCCTTATCTAATTTGGAGACGGTAACTACCTTTGTCTCAATACATTTTTTGCCAGCGAGATTAATAATCATACAGGTTCACCCTTTTATACTTCCATTATAAACTTCTCAAAAGTCATTTGTCATCCAGGTTTGGAGTATTGCATTACGTTGATTGCTGTGTCAAAATTTCTTTCGTCCAGCTGCCTGCTAAATCAACAGGTAGAGAGTCGCCAGGTAATCAGCTTTTTTATTTCGTTTTCAGCTTCGTTGGAGCGTGTCTAGCTCGAACCCTGGCACGTGTCTCTCGCGCGAGTAAATTTGATTGACGGATGACGGTCTACCAGTAGCAGGCGTCTGTCTAAGTCGAGGCACTCAGGCACAGGGTGGGTGGAGTCTCCAGGGGTTGGCTTGGTATTTAAACCGTCTCCTGACAGGTGTTATCCCAAAGTTTGATATCAATCCTAGATCGACCCTTCTTTTCCATGGTCGTGAGCTAAGTACGCCAGTTCCACACGACAGTCGCACGACAAAGTATCGGAGACATCGCAATGACGACGACACTAAGCTTGGTGCCTTTACATACATTATCTACATCTACAAATAATGGTATCCAGATGACATCAGGTCCATATATACTTGTGAGAGCAACCTTACCGGCTGAGGTTCCAGCAAAGAGAATAGTAAAGAAACCGGACAATATTTTATCGAAGGAACCTGAGGCGCTTCGCTGCAAACGAAGAACAGATTCACAGGGTCTGCATAATATTCTACCGAGACCTCAACCTGCAGCAGTGGCCAGACGAAACGAAAGGGAACGCAACCGAGTAAAAATGGTAAATCTCGGCTTTGAAACTCTGCGAGAACATGTTCCAAATGGAAAGAAAAACAAGAAGATGAGCAAAGTGGACACTTTAAGGGCTGCTGTAGAATATATCAAACAACTGCAAACCGTGCTTCAGGATGAGAACATGGATACAACTAGTGTATCGAATTCGACTTCACTGAATAATTTTGACTTTACAGCATTATCACCATCACAGAGTGACTTTTCACACTGTAACTCTACAGAACAGCTTTCTCCGGCGCCGAGTATGTCCTCCGACGCCTTCTCAGAATCCTTCAGCTCAGAAGAGGAGGAACTTCCGGACCTAGGTCCCTGGTTCTCCTGAGTTCTGATGGAGCTTTTTTAACACTAGGTAGGCATATAAAATTTCATGTTAGTTCTCTCTAATCGCTCTGATTTTATCAAGCTTATCATAAATTCGGGAGATGTCTATCAATATTTTAATTTGCATTTCTGATTTTAATATCTTGAGTATAAAACTAGAAAAAATTGCACAGGCACTTTACAATCAAGATAATATAACAATGTAGAATTTGTATTCATCCTGACTGTCTACAAGGGTTCGTGTTTACAGGTAAAGCCGTTGTTCGCTATGTAAATATTTAGACAAGTCAATAGGAAAAACTTGTAAAATTTGTGTCACCCCAGACTCCAGTGCACGGAATGGGGCACGGTGCCATTATTGCTTAATTTTCTGATAGCATAATATTAGCCATCTGCCACCAAATTTGTTGAAGAAAATCCTTTTCGCTGTGATTTAGCTTCGATGAACTTTACACATTATCTGTCGGCCTAGAGATATATATATATGACTTCCGTACACGGTCAATGAAGAATTTGGCAATGAAGAAAGCGCGTGTATTCAGTCCTATTAATTATTGTTAGAGGCCACAGATTTTTTTATTGATAGAAGTGGCCTGAATTCAATATAATTATCTCTGTTTGTAGATTTGTATTTAAATCTGTATTACCATGACAACGGAGATGTGTGCAATGACAGAACCAATCAGGAACGGGTTTCTATGGAAACAGCCTGAAGTTCTACAAAACAAGAACTGCCTGTTACTGTGTTCACGGACAGAGTTATTTTGATCTCTTTTAATATATATTATACATGTATAGACTGTGTTCAAACTTATCGCGCATTCCATGTGTTCATCTGTTACTATACCCACTGTGTTCTACTTAACAAAGCGAGTAATTTTATTACCCTCGTTCACAAAGTGCTTCCATTTTATTCTGATGTTATTTATAAGAATTTTTAATCCAGTTTTTGTATGTTTTTTACTGCAGTTGTATATATTTGACATTGTATATGTTACTTAATACCATAACAATATTTTGTACATTGTTGATGTTAAATAATTATGCATTCCATATTTTGTCTTTTTTGACATTTTTTTTATTATGGCAAATAAATATTACAAAAATACTGATACCCTTGTTCCTGAGTTATTACAGGAGGAAGCTTGTTTGACTGATTACATGAAAGAAAATGTATATTGGATAAAACAAGGTTCTTTTTTAGAATTGGGATTTAGAGCTTCGGGCCAGAGGTAGAAAAATAAATTTTAAGATTTGTCCTGAAGTAGCGAAATGCTATATCGTGACACTGTAATATAGAGACTGAATTGGTGCATCATCTTTCATTATACATATGTAATTATACTGTTTTTAGTGAAAACAAATTCTGGGAGCTTGAGATAGAATGCATCGAAGATTATTTTACTTCTTTAAAAAAAAAATGGATTGCAAGTTTATATATTGGGCAATAAATACTACCGGACTGGCTTTGAGAGAATGATTTCGCGCTTTCTTAATAATAGATATATGGATAAAAAAAAACAAAAAAAAAAACATGTATACATTTAGAAGATAAAAATGACATGATTCGTCATCTGGATAGGTATAACATGTAAGCTTCATTTTTAACAAAAACAGATCAAGTAATTTGAATAACATATCATTTCTTTTTATTTCTGAATTTACCAGAAAAAAATCAATAAGAATGACACATCCCATTTGTCAACAAATCAATTCAGAATTAAAGTTGTTTGACTTCAACCGTTCGATTTCTAACACGGGATCTGTAATGCGCAACATTTAGAGCATTTAAAAAAAACTTCCGGGAAGAAGTATGGCGAAAGACCGCGTCTAATGTCCAGTTTTTTTGTTTTTTTTTTGTTTTTTTTTTTTGGTTTTTTTTTTTTTTTTTGTGAAATACTCCACAATAGAGAGAAGACTTAGACTTAGGAATATGTGGAGATAACGAACAGTATTCGAGCTCAAAAGTCCATTAAACATTACAAAATAGGAGCAGAGCAAACACGGACCTCTAAGACATCAGAGGTGGGATCAGGTGCCATGGAGGAATGAGCATCCCCTGCCGACCGGTCACACCCGCCGTGTATTCAGAGGATAAAGGATGCCAGATTTGTTATGTATAACTCACATCTCCACGTATTTATGTCGTCAGCTTAAATATTCGTGAATTCACAATTATTCTAAATATGCATTTAAAGCTGATTAAAACGAAATACTTTTATGTATATTCGCTTAAAATTTATTTATAATTTTGCATACATATATATTCCTTGTCTGATGAAGAAAAATCAGTTCATTAACATCTAATCATACCATTTAGTCTCTTTTTTTTAAATTAAGAAATTACGAGCCGCTCGAGAAGTTTTCAACAAAGAATTGTAAAACGTTGTATTCATCTGAACTATGTGCAGTTTCTTTTTATTCTTTATTTTTTACTTAAAAAAATCAATATATTAAATTTGAAATTGAAATTGAAATTTGCATTTCAAATTGAATTTGAAATAGCACGCGTCTTTGAAATGAAGACAAAAGCCATTTAGGCATTTATCTTCATTTCAAAGACGCGCGCAATTTCTAAAATAGAGAGTGCTATCATTCTCACAACAACTAAAAATATAGAAATTGAAATTGTAACTACAATATAGCATAAACTTAATTGTGATTTCTTAATTAAGACTGCAGTTTGAAATTGGTCCATATAAAAAATATTGCAACATCGCCCTAATACTTGTATATCAAGATTGTTTTTCAAGACAAGCCAGTTATATATACTGTATACCTTCAGACTGGTATTTAGTTATAACATGTGAGCGGAAAGGCGATCAAAGCGGTCGTATCTTTTATTTAAACATCAGAACACTTGAGTTTAGTTGTTTAAATCAAAAGTTTATACCCGATCTGAGCCTGAAAATTATCTTCTAGAAAAAAAAGACCTGTTTATATCGGAGGGCATGTGACCTTCGTCACTGACACGATTAATGCTCTGTATATTAAAATAATCAGGTTTATGACTTTTCGGAACCCCTTAGTAATCATATTATGCTCTTTGTGATTAAATTCTAATATTTCTTTCAGGACAGCAATCTTTCTTCAGAGAAGTCATCCACTTCTCTGTTTACTCCGGAGATCAAACTAGCGCGGTCATTGGTTCTCTCTTTAATCTTTTTCATAATGGCTGATGGGATTTATTCGCCTTTGATGAACCTTTGCTTCTTTAAAGAAAAAAAGGTTTGAATTTTATTTTTGAAAAAAAGTGTATGTTCAAAGAAAAATATTCCTAGTATACGATTAAAATTTTGTTTCTGACTAAATTCATAATCTAACACCTTTAATAATTCATCTTAAAGAATAATATATTTATTTTATGACTTTATGCATTTGTAAAAATTGAAAAAGAAAATAGACAGAAAAAAAAAATCATCCAAACGCATAGTTATTATAAATATTAAATATATGTATCCATAATTAAGTGTATTTTCTTTATACTGATGGGTCAAATGGCTTCATGTTATTCAATAAAGATATATACCCCCTTCTCTGTGCGTGCGCGTGTGTGTGGTGGTGGTGGTGGTGGGGGGTGCTGATAATTAAAGCAATTTTTCTAGACTCGATCAAACAACGGTGTGATGGTCAATTTTCATGGCCGAAGCCAATGCAACGAAATTTTAAACATTTCAGATTGCTATACTGTCCATATACACTTAAAATATGTTTTCGTTTGTTTCTTTTTTAGTTTTTCATAAATATTACTTTCAAATTTCATGCTCCAGTATCAAACCATGGCTTTTTATCTTCACGTATCCAAGTTGAACAGTACTAGTGTTTTTATTGCAGAAACTCGATGGTCTCCGTGAAAGCTATGGTAACCATCATGATTAGATATGATGACCAAGACATCAAAGATGACCACAGCTGATGATATACATTTATTGACTGAGTTCGAGGTCAACATGCGTTTTATCGGACCCAGGAACCAAACTGTTTGCCGAGGCCATAAGACCAAAGGCAAGCAGTTTGGTTCGAGGCGTCGACAAAACGCATTTTGCCCGAGACACAGACAATGAATGTTTTATTATATCTTTTACTTTTTATTTGACATGTCTTCCACTGGCTTCCATGTTTGCGATTATTGATAAGATACATGTATGCCTATAGCTGAACCCGCCTACAGTGTGACGTAAAAAACGTCGTAGCAGTCCAATATCTCATCAACAGGTCCGATATGTCACTCAGCGGTCCAACATCTTTTTTTCTTCTTCTTTTTTTTTTTTTTGGGACAGAGCAGAAAAAAACATTTGAAATGTTTGACTATTTATATAGGAATTTTTTTTCAAGGTATAACAATATCATTTACATGTATGTACAAAACAGAACTTCAAAAGCGCCGTTTTATTTATATCTACACATAAATTTCGAAGAGTACAAAGTGATTTCAAAATTTCACACACTTAATCCTATGGTTTGAAAATTTATTTTTTCACTTACATTCATTTTTATAAATAAATTTTTAGAGCCCTTTATTTTTGCAATTTGTCGAAAGAAAATTACTAAGTATATTTTTTTAATTTTTCAAGTCTTTCAAGTCTTTAAATTTATTCCAAGTTTCTGTTCGCTTATCCTTTCCGGCGGTTGTAAAGGTGGCCTAAATCTACCTGTTGGCAGACTAAAATCAGCACCTATTTTACATATCCCTTCTAAATAATTCCCTCATTTGTACTGCCTTTTATGTCGATATGTTTTTGTATAGAGAATGTTCGGCGGATATTGTCACCTCTTCGAATTAACAAAATTCAAGAAACTGAATTTTATGATAATTTATCCTTAAACTTTGGACGTACGTATTGAACTAGGCCATGTCGTATTTTCCTTGGTAGGCAGACCGTGTCGGGAAACCTTCTAATTTGTTTTCTACAGCACTCGATCAATGCCCGGCCTATTGCGATAGTCAGCTTTGAAATCTAATAAACCATCCATGGAGAATCTCCTTTAAAATCCAAGCGCCGACAAAATTATGCATCTCCTTTTCTGTGTCGAATGCTACCGTTACTATGTACGCGAAGTTCTTGTTTACTCATGTCAAAAATGCACGAGAAAGGCGCGTGCGACACACGCGCAAGTAAAAGCAAGACGCCTAAGAAAAATAAATTATTTTAAAAATCGACGATGTGGTTGCGCAATAAACAAAAATGACTTTGAATTTCAGCATTTTTTTTTACAATAAAATTTTATTTTCGAGGTTTTTATCTTAGATACTTAATTTATGAGAGTTAATATTATCCACTAGGAACTTTAATAAATTGCCCACGCGCTGTGACTTGGTACGACCTTCTCAGTCCTTTTATCCCTACTAAATCTTGTATTGATTTTCGGGTTATAAATTTGAGTTTCTTGTCGTCAAAAGATTACATTAAAACACACAATAAACCACAGAAAACTTGTAATTGTATTCAAATTAGCTAGAACATTGCCGACAGCAAACATTGTAAGTCTCTCTCCCAGATAAAATATTGATTACTCTTTTTCTCTAACTTTAGAACTTATTTCAACAATTATTCTAAATCCATGGTGTTAATTTCACGTCAAAATAAACGTTTCAAAGAAAGAGACACCCGTCGCTTTTGAAGACAAAAAAGCGCCTTATAATCACATTCTCGTAATACATTGCATTTGCAGCAAGGACAGTGAAGCATAATCAATAAAAAAAATCTTAACAAACACTTTAAAAGTGTAAATGTATATGATTCTGTAAAACCTACAAACAGGATGTTTCTTTTGATTGGACATGAGTCTTCACTTATCTGTATTTCAAGACTTTTTATTCTCAGAACGTCATACAAAAATGCAGTTTCTACTTCAACCAATCACATGTAGTCAGCAAAATCATGGCGGCACAAATTTGGCAGCCATTCGCATCTTGTCGACAAAATTAGGAAACTGTTGACAATTTGTGACTTTTTATTTCAATATATTTCGGAAATGAAAAATGATAGGTCTTAAACACAAGCGTCTAAAGAGCTGCCAGTGGTTTCGGACCTCCGAAATAGTGTGAATTCGCGAGACGATTCGGGAGTAATATGGC